GCCAGTTGGTTGGTGTGCACCGAGTATCGGAGCTCTGCAAATGCAGAAATCCCAGGGCCCCGAGTTGGTTAGGCCCTGGGCACATAAACGTGAGGCCGACAATGCATGTTGGATATAGAGGCCGAAAATGCCAAAGGGAAACCGGTCCACTATCTGAATCTGGCCGCAGGCCTTGACGAAAGAGGCGCAACTGCATCTCCTGGGCCCCCAACTGCATCGGGCCTGGGTACAGGCACTGGGGCCCAGGYACAGGCTCAAGGGAGGCCGCCCACATGCAACACTGGCATATAGGCAAGCAGGGTGAGTGGGCAGGGATCTTGGCCATTGCGGGCAATGCCGGCACGCTGCGCCAATGCGAGCTGCTGCGCTGCGCTAGGCTGAGGTGCGAGACACGCAGGCGCTAGGCGGTAGGGCGCTGCCTGTACACAGGGCGCTGGCGGCCATAGCCGGGCTGCCTGAGGGCGCAGGGGAGGTGAGGGCGCAGGGGAGGTGAGGGCGAAGGTGGTTCTTCGGAGGTGAAGGGCGCTGTGTGGGATAACAAGGGAGAGTGTGGGGTGAAGAAGGAGACGTACATGGTGGAGGTGGAAGGTCGGCATTGGTGTTGACATCATCACTCGCTGGTCGTCAAGTTGTCTGGTTGCTTTCATACTGTAGTTGTAGTGATAGGCTGTAGAGTAGGTAGGGCGCCTGGCGCCATTCAAGAGAGAGAGCTACATTGGGTTATGCTGTTGGTGTTGCCCTGTTGGGCTTGGACATTGACTCACGATTCTTCTGTATCGTTTCTCAAATGAATGGTTACTCGGTTCCATTGTGCTATCTGCTCTTGCTTTGACTACTTCGACTTTAGTGTGATTTTGCAATCTGGATTTCTGTGCTTCGTCCATATTCATGTTCCTTGCACAGTACACGTTTATGGACTATCTGGAAACAGAGATGCCAACAAGCAATCGGGCAGATGCCAATGTTTAGAGCAGAAGCTAAGGTGACGCTCTACAACCTCATGGAAACGGATATCAGAGCCCAATGGCAGAAGGCCAAAAGACAGGCCTCACTAAGTCCAGAACGGGCCAAGGACCTAGCTGAAAAATTCCAGAAAACGACGCTGGCCCAGGGCAAACTAGCCACTATCGAAGGAGCTCGGCTGGTCTTTCATTGGTTTCGGGAGAGGCAGCGGGAGCTCCCCATGGGAGACCCGTCAAGTACCCCCCGTCTCAGTCTTCCATAGAACCGGGCTTGGCCGCTCCTACAGAAAGTAGAGGGCCTACAAGGGAAAACCCAACACTTCCTGTTTCCCGAAGAAACCTCAGATTTTAAGGAGGGGTAGTATCTAGCAAACAGGGGGGCACATGGTTCTGGGAAAGAAAGGAGGACGATGCACAGGCAGGAAGGAGGGCAGGTCCTCCTAAGCCTATTGGAAACCGACGTCCGGGCACAGTGGAAAAGAGCGCAGAGGCAGATGAGACGGCAACCCGACCAAGAACAGGAATTGAAAGACAGGTTTGAGCGCAGAATTCTCGGGAATGGCAAAGTTGCAACCATCCAGGCCTCAGCCCTCGTATTTCGGTGGAGACAGAGCAGATGAAGCGGCGACAGTAAAGGGAAAGGAGAGCAACAGCGGTAGGGTTTAGGGTTTAAGGAGACAGGAACCAAGGAAAAATAGCATCAATAGCCGTAGGGTTTAAGGGTTTAAGGAGAAAGGTTGAGGATAGGGAGAGGTGAGGGATAGGGTAGACATAGACAAAAATAGTTAAGGGGACAGGAATAGTCTGGTTCCTGCTGTTCCTTTATATCTGTTTGCCAGTTCTTAGTCCAGTTTCCCTTTTGCTGAAGTTGCAGATAAGGGGACGCTGGACCCGGTTTCGAGCTCAAGCCAAATATGGGTAATGGCCCCAGCTCTGTCCGGGTTGAGATGTCGAGGAATTCCCGGCCTCATGGATTTTTATATAATAAAGCTGCAACTGTTTTTAACAAAAAAAGAAAAAGTAAGGAAACTGAATCGCAAGTACGCTTGCTCTTGCTCCTCTCCATTCTGTGGTTGATACAGTTTTCTGATCTGAGAGGTTTGCGCAACTTTGCGGACAATTTTTCGGACTTCTCTAGTGGCTTATCTGAGTGGCTCATGTGAGTGGCTTATCTGAGTGGTTTATCTGAGTGGCCTATCTGAGGGGTTTATCAGAGGGGCTTATCTTAGTGGCTTATCCAAAAGGCTTATCTGATACCTATCTGGGTGGCTTACCTGAGAGGCATATCAGAGCAGCTTGTCTGAGGGTCTTATCTGAAGGGCTTATTAGAGGGGCTTCTCCTGGACCTTATCTGACTGACTTACCTGCAGCACATTTGTTGCCTCTGCGGTAGTCTCTGCAACATACTACAGCCGCTTGTTCCCTGCCTTTCATCAGAATATAGGTACATCTCTTTGTGGCTGCGAACATTCTTGCCCTCTGCCGCATGGCAATCGTTGTGATAAATGAGATGGTTTCTGATGGGCCCTCTGATAGGATGGCTTTTTCTCCAAACAAACATAAACCAAATCATTGTTTGCATCCCCCTAATCTGGAGAAACCTGCTAAGAACGGACCAAAAATGGCAGGATGGTGACTGGGTCACCACTACTGACTCCTTCAAGAACTACAAACTTCATGACAGAAACTGGATCTGCTGTGATATATCTTCACCTTAGATGAAACAGGAAACCCGGTAAGGCAGATATTAACACGAAAAGTAGAGCAGAAGGAACCTTCGGAACCAGAATCCTAAGAGGAATCAGAATCATAGAAGGAGAAAAAACAGAGTATACGAGCCCCACCTAAGCATACAGAACCTGGAGATTGACCCTACCGAATGGACATGGAGTACCTCCGCCTGCCCCACCCCCTTCCCAGGCCTCCTCAAACTGACCGACTATACACCAAAGCTAGACTACCGCCTCTTCACCAAACCTATATCTATATCCAACACTCTACGGAACAGGTGGACAAAAGAAGAGCCACAATTATCCAACACCCACTTCAACCCCCCCTGGGCCTCAATCTTCACCACAAGACCGGTGAAGCTAGCCAGTGTAAGATGGCTAGTAGCCTTCAGAGCAGTGCCAGTTAACCAACGGCTGGCACACAGACGCAGTCACGCAACCAAGAAAACAGCTCGGAACAGGACTCCTGGTGCAAAGTTTGCAACACCCAGTCCATAGAATCCCTAAACCACTGTTTCATAGATTGCCCAAAGGCCAGATCTACCTGGCAAGCAATAGAGGCATCATGGAACAAAATAACAGACTTACCACTTTTAATTAATCCCGCCACATTATTCCTCAAGCTCAAACAATCCCCTTCGCTCAAAGATTTTGAAGCCTTCCTCTCTTCCCTCATCAGGAAAAGCACTCTCTGGACCATATGGAGAAACAGATGTGACAGTACTTTCGACGACCGCCTCACTACCCCAGAGAACCCAATCATAACTATAAAACAACTAATAGACACTGAAATCCACGGCCTTTGGAAGAAACAGCTCAACCAACTCCCTACCGACCCCGATAAAAAAAGCGGAAAAAAATTCAAAAAATAAAAAAATTCACAATTCTCAAATTAACTCTTCAAACCCCGGAAATGAGGCAGGCCATTTTGCAACCTTGCCTAAACTACGACTCGGGCAATCAGTCCTTGCCAGAACTCCTAAATGCTATCAGTCGACCATCGGCGACAGCAGCTAGACAGCTAGCGAGCAAAAGAAAGGCCCGGGAATTAGAGCTCCAGCAGGCATTGCGAATAGCAGATCGTAACCTCGCTAAGAACCCGGGCGTCGAATTGTACGAGAGAATATGGCAGGCAGCAAGGGAAGAACTGGGAACGTGGGAACGCTGGAGGATCAGGGGGCTGCAGATCAGGGCAAGAGTCAAGGAGTGGGAGGACGGAGAAAGAGTGACAAAATATTTCTTTCACAAAATTCGGACCAAAGGACGGAGCTCAACAATAGAACGGCTTCAAACATCGGAAGGGCAAGTGTCAACACCGGAGGAGATGGTCACGGTGGCACAGCAGTTCTATAGCACCTTATACACTTCAAGGAAGTCGGAGCACTCGCAACAGCAGGTGCAAGGAGCCAGATCAAAGTTCTTAGCCCACTTAGAGAGGACTGTGCCTAGCGCACAGGCGGAGATGCTAGAAGCCCCTCTCACTCAGGAGGAGATGTGGGAAGCGCTAAAGTCAATGCCACCCAACAAGACTCCAGGAAAATATGGTTTGTCAAGGGAATTTTGGCTTGAATTTTGGCCAATCCTAGGGAGCGAATATATGGCTTACCTAGAAAGGGCCTAGCAAGCAGAGGGGCTGGGCCAGGATCCGGCCACAGGGATTGTCACGTTGTTGTATAAAAAGGGGGACCCCGAAGACATAAGGAATTACAGGCCCATTACCTTGCTGACACTCACACACAAGATCGTAGCGAAGGCCCTGGCTAACAGACTCAGGAGGGTAACTAGGGGCTGCTTCCATCTGGATCAGACCAGTTCTATCCCAGACCAGTTTATCCTGGACAACGTCATGACCTTGTCAAAATCAGTACGCTATATTAAGGATAAGAGAATCAATGCAGCAATATTGTTCTTTGACTTCGAGAAGGCGTACGACCAAGTGAACTGGAGTTTCCTCCAACAGTGTATGGAAAGGACGGGGGTCGGATCTAATTTCAGGAAATGGATACGGGTCCTATACAATGATGTACACGGGCAGGTTCAGGTGAATGGTCACTTGTCGCAGAGCTACAGGATGTCGAGATGGGTCCGACAAGGAGACCCCTTAGCAGCACCCATTTTTTTCTTCGTAATGGAGGCGGTGGCATCATTTCTCATAAAGGATCCCTCCATCCAACGCTTGACAGCAGAACCGGACCAGCAGGATAGACTGATCCAATTGCCGACGACACTCCTGTTTGCTGACGATTTAACGGTTCTGATTCGCAACTCGAGCTCATCTTTTGAGGCCCTCACTAGAGCAATGCTGGCCTTCCAGCTGGCGTCCGAAATGAGAATAAACTGGCCTAAGACAATAGGATGGTGGCTGCACTACAGGGAGGGAGAGGGTCAGAGACCAGAGATCACCCCGGAGGGAATGCACTGGACAACGGTAGAGGAACCACTACGTTATTTCGGAATCAAGCTAGCAGAAACGGGACCTCGCCACTCAATGGCTCCAGAGATTTTAGCAATAATTCTTACAAAGCTGAGTGTTTGGGCAGCAATTTACACCTCTCTGTTTGGAAGAGCGTTAATTTTAAACGCTTCCATTTTTTCGATGCTGTGGTACGTAGGCACGATTTGGACACCACCGGTTCAGTCCATTAGGGAGTTAAGAAAAAGATCAGCAGCCTTCTTATGGACAGCAAACCCAAGCAAGCAGAATGTCATATCAAAGGTCGCTTGGAAGCATGTCATCAAGCAGAAGGAGCAAGGGGGTCTGGGCATATTGGACCCGGAGCAGCAGATGAAGGAGCTGCAAACGAAGTGGGTTTCGAAGCTTATCACTCATCCCCAGCTTCCATGGGCTCCTCTGGCCTTAGAACACATCAGAAGACTGGACAAATGGACAAATACAAAACACCGGCCAATATGTCAAGGCTGTACTGGGTAATGAGCAAAGGCTGGGCACGGAAACGTAGGGACGAAGGAGAGGGGATACCCGGGGTAACTGAGGGGAGGGGGGGCTCCTATTGGGCTCAACTCCTCAAGCTCTGGAGAGACATCTTCCCAGCAAGAGTCAGTGAACCAAGCAACAGAGATGAGGTGCTCCGTCAACCACTGCAACCCTTTGATCAAGAATCAGCAGGGGAAGCCGCGTACCCTAACAGCACGGGACTCGAAATGGGGAACGTGGGTGGAACATGGAGTCTGGCAGGTCAGACATTTATGGTCAGACGAGAAACAGCGGTGGAAGACAGCACGAGACCTTCGGTACGTTATGAAGGGCACCCACAGGTTGCTAGAAAACCTGAATGATGTTCTCATCTCCATCCCATCAGAATGGGTAAATCTGCTAGAGAAGGGACCGCAATGGGAGAAGGGAGATTGGGCCACGTGGTTACACGTGGATAAGCCGGAAGAGGCCTTCAGGATAAGGGGCAAGACGGCCCGAGGGATGCATGGTTATTGGCTGATATGTTCTCGATAGAGGAAACAGGGACCATCACCAGTCAGTTAGATAAGACATCTACTACCCCGATTACAATCCTAAAAAGAGCAGCGCGGAAGGTTAGAGTGGTGGAGACAGACAACTATACGATTTATGCTCCGGCTACGGCTCTGGAGGATTTGGAAGTGGAGCCGGCAGAATGGGCATGGAACATCAGGGGAGGAATATTGAGGGTGGCCAGAAGAATAAGCATACTGCACTACACAACCAAATTGGGGTACAGACTTAGAAGGAGGTCTCACCCACTGGCGGAACCACTGGGTATTCGATGGGAAAGGAGGTTGGAAGTGCCCAGGACGCAGGTCGCTCGATTGTCGTGGCCAGTGTTGAACAGCATAAGGTTAGGCAGGGTCAAAAGCTTACAATGGCTGATTTTCCATTTGGCGCTCCCAGTCAACGCCTGGCTGTATGAACGCCGCAGTCACCACCAAAGGGACCAGGTCAACCACAAGTGCCACCTTTGCACGGATGAAGGGATGGAATCCTTGCTTCATTGTCTGCTACAATGCCCAGAGGCGGCATACGTGTGGGAAATAGCCAGGGAACTGTGGGGAAAGATCTCAGACGAGTCCTTTCCAGAGGACAGGAGGATCCTCCTCACTGGTATGGAGCCTCCGAAGACATGGCAGCCAGGACAGAGAAGGGGTTTCCAATTACTGAGACAATACGCATTGTGGACCATATGGAAGAGGAGATGTCATCTGACGATAGCGAACAGACAAATGCACAGACTGGAGGCCAAGCACGTTCTGCACAACCTTTTGGAGACGTATATCACGGCCCAATGGCAAAGAATAAGACAACAAGCTCAGCTTAACCCGGTGAAAGTCCGAGGGATATTTAAGACTTTTCACCAGATAACGTTGGTAAGAGGAAAGATAGCAACAATTGAAGGATACAGATTAGCCTTCCATTGGTTCGAGAATAAGGAACAACGGGGGCAAGACTAGAGTGTTAGGCTTGTAAGGGTAGCGCTTAAGTTCAGATAGAAGAAGGGGAACGGAGGTAGGTTAAAAGGTTAACATAGCAGAGTAGGGGTGAGGAAGGGGAAGGTTGGCTAGGAAGTACAGGCAGACAGCAGGGTTTAGGGTTTAAGGATTGTTCGGCGCCCAAGTGCAACCTGGGGGCAGGTTGGAAGGTTCTTTCCTTTATTGCTATTTGTCTTTAGTTAATCCAGTTTTGTCTTTGTTCAGGAACAGCATGTAGGCTGACAAGAGAAAGGGACACTGGACCCGGGTCCAGTACGAGCCTAAGCTGGGTTATGGTCCCAGTCTTCCGGGTTGAGATGTGGAGGGATCCCGGGCCTCCTTTTGCTCTGTATATAATGAAGCATGCTATTTGTTAAAAAAAAAAAAAAAAAAACCAGAAAGGATAAGGACAGCTAGGCACAATAAATGATGATAGACTCACCCTCAAGAACTGGATATTCATACCCACAACACCAAACCATCCATCATATCCCCTATCCCAACCAATACTAGTATCATCCTGAAAACACCCAACCACCTCTATAGCAGCAACACCCCTGCCTCCTCCCCCTC